CTTTTAGCTATCATAAGCTGGCTATGAACATTTCTACAAGTCTTTGTGTGGATATGCATTTTTATTTCTCTTGGGCAGATATCAATGGAAACTGATAGGGTGTATGGAAAATAAAGGCTTAATTTAATAAGAAACTCTCAAACATTTTGCTAAAGTAGTTGCACTATTTAATCTTTCCACAATTACTGTATAAGAATTCCAGTTGATTCACATCCTCATCAACACCCGAGGCACCATCAGTCACTTTAACAGAATGTTTTCTACTTTGTTGGGTACAGTATTCTAGAAATGTCCAGAACATCCAGTTTGTGATAACACTGCTCATGTCTTCTGTGAGTTACTTCGTCTAGCTGCATTATCAATTACTGAGATAGGTGATGAAATTTCCATTATACCTTTAGAAAATATACATATTTTTCAGTTCTGTTACTGGGTAAAAACACTGTTGGAATTTTTGTATTTTTCTGATAAATTAACCCCTTTAGCATTATAAAATATCCCTTTCTATATTGGCTTGTTTCTTGTTCTGACATCTCCATTTTCTGATATTAGTATTTGTATGTATGGTATTTCCAGTTTTCTAATGATTAGCTTTGCACAGCGTATAATTTTCTACCCTTTCATTTTAAACTATTTCTTTATATTTGAAGTGGATTTTTGTATAGCATAGAGTTGGGCTTGATTTTTTTATCCACTGACAATTTCTTTTATTTAATTTTAATTAATTTTAAGTTAATTACCACAGGTAGCTAAACCTTCAGAGACAGAAGGTTTAAGCTAAAGGCCAGCAAATTAAGGCTCACAAGGCAAATGCACTCTGTCAACTGTGTTTGTACAGCTCACAAACTAAGAATGATTTTACTTTTTTAAAGGGTTAGGAGGGGAAAAAAAAGAAAAATAGTATTTTCTGGGGCATGTGACTCTTGATCTCAAGGTTGAGAGTTCAATCCCCTTGCTGGGTATAGATTACTTAAAAATAAAAATCTTAAAAAAATAATATTTTGGCAGCACCTGGGTGACACAGTTGTTTGAAAGTCTTACTCTTGATTTTGGCTCTGGTTGTAATCTTGGGGTCATGCGATCAAGCCCCACATTGGGCTCTGGGCTCAGCAGAGTCAGTTTAGCATTATCTTTTCCCTCTCCCTCTGTCCTTCCCCCCACATGCTTGCTTGCTTTCTCTCTCTCAAATCTTTAAAAAATATTTTGTGACACATGACAATTACATGAAATTCAATGTCTACTTTTTATTGGAACGCAGCCATACTTATTCATTTATACAATGTCTATGACTACTTTTATGTGATACTGGCAGAACTGAACACTTTCAACAGATACCATATTGACCACAAAGCCTAAAATATTCTTTAATCTGACTCTTTATAGAAAAATTTTGCCAAACTCTGATTAAAACCATTTATACTAACACAATTATTGATAAAATTGGATTTAAATCTATAATCTTGTCATTTGTTTACTATATATCTCAATATTTCTTTGTTCTTTCTTTTACTGTGTTTTGTGCAGAGTAACCATACTTTAAATAAACATACTTTAACGTTTTGTTTAATATCCACTACTGGCTAATTAAGCACACTTCTTTATTTTGATATTTAGTGTTTGCTCCAGGTTTTACAATATGCATCATTGACTCAACACAGTGTAACATAACATCAAATGATGCTCTCCCACTTCATGTAAAACGTGAGCACTTTTTACCCTTCCAACACTCTATTTCCATTTCCCTGCTCTCATACTTAATACTACAGTTCATACATACAGTTTCCTTCTACACATGCTGTAAAACTTACATTATGATTTTTGTTTTAAGCAATTATTTTATCTGCTAATAAGCCCCTGGATGTTCACTAGTTGGCCTTACGGAGTTTCACTTTATGTATTTATGATCCCAGCATTCAGCAGCAGACTCAAAGTAGCCACTATATGGATTTCTAGAGTTCTTTTGTCTGCATAGCTCCTTTCTTTTCAGAACCTGGCCATGCAACTTCTAGTTGCCTAAGCCTCTCCAACATCCAAATTCTGGCTTCCAAGTTCTCATTAGACTCTCTCTTCCTGTTTCTGTGTCTCCAAAGTTGCTTCAGGACAGGAAGCTATAATAGTGGTAAACCTAACTAACCTCTTTTATTTCCTCTCTCTCAGGGATCACAGTCTTACTCTGCCTATCATATAATAACTAAAAACAAAACAAAACAAAAATCTAAAACAAGATAATTCATATATTTTGGCCCAGTTTACGAGTTGTTTATGAGAAGGGGATAAAGACTTCTTACTCCATCATAGCCAGAGATGGAATTCGTAATTTTTATAAACAATATTAAAAACTTATGTATTTGCAAAAATGCAGATTTGAAGGGGTACATGCACCTTGATGTTTATAGAAGCATTATCAACAATAGCCAAACTATGGAAAGAGCCCAAATGTCCATCAACTGAAGATGTGTTGCATACACACACACACACACACACACACACACACACAAACAAACACACAAGTATTAGCCATCAAAAAGAATGAAATTTTGCATTTGGAACAACATAGATGAAGCTAGAGTGTATTATGCTAAGCGAAATCAGTCGGAGAAAGACAAATAGGAAAACAGATCAACGTATGGGAAGAAAAAAGAGGGAAGCAAACCATAAAAGACTCTTTTTAAAAAGATTTTATTTATTTATTCATGAGACACACACACAGAGAGGCAGAGACACAGGCAAAGGGAGAAGTAAGTTTGTCACTGGGAGCCCAGTGGGGGACTTGATCCCAGGATCACAACCTAGCCAAAGGCAGACGCTCAACCACTGAGCCACCCAGGTGCCCCCATAAGAGACTCTTAATGATAGAGAACTAAGGGTTGATGTAAGGAGGGGTGAGGGGTGGGCTAAACGGGAGATGGGTATTAAGGAGGGCACTTGTTATGATGAGCACTACATGTGATATATGTGATGAATACTAAATTCAACTCCTGAAATGGTATTATACTATAGGTTAACTAACTAGAATTTAAATAAAAACTGGAAAGAAAAAGGGTTATTTGAGCAGATTATGTGAATTTAAAGAATGAATTAGAAATAATTCTATTTTTTTATACATGACAGGTAAAAGGAACTAATATTAAATCCTTAAAACAACTTTAGAGGTATTATTGTCTCCATTTTGAAGAGGCTCATAAGTTAATAACTTGCCAAGGTCATACCAATATCAAGTGGCAAAATTGAGATTCTAACCCAGTTATTATTGAAGGCCATGTTTTTTACTCTATACTACCTGGCTTCACATTATTTCACACCACAGATACTGCATTTTAAATGACTTGATTCACCAAAGTAAATTTATTAAAATCTCCTGTGCTTTACTTATTAGCAAGGTTATTATTAACTATTAATCAAAATACCTGACCAGCAAGGAGAAAAGAAATTACTATGGTGTGTTAAGAGTATTTCATATAAATGCAATGATACAATGTCATTGTTAGCCTCTGTGACATTTTAATAAGCATATTTATTTAAATTTAAAATTGGCATCTTAAAACGTTTTAAATGACTTATGAACTTTTGGCTATGATTCACACAAGCCAGTATATTCCTGAGGACCATATATATTTCCTATTTCATGTAAGCAGACATTATGTTCACCACCTAATGTTGGAGACCATTAAAATGTAAGTTCCACTGAAGTTTTATTCACAATACCTAAAAAGAGTTTACCATACAAAAGGTACTCTTGAGAAATAAAAGATGCCCATAATTTTAATGCTCTAGAAGTATAGTAATGGTTACCTTACATTAAGATGGTGGGCTGACCCTTCTGCCCAAATCCCTTTAAATGACAGTTCAAAAAAAAGAAAAAGAAAGTAACGCGCTTGTGTTTGCAATAAACATGGAGTAACAGGAACTGTATTGATCTTACTGCCTGAAACAGCTAAGCAATGCAACAGAATATATGAAACAGTGGAACTCAAGACATAATACAGGAACCAACAAAAGAAAGTGAATATTAGAGATGAAAAACAAAGGCGATAAGCCCTATTATTGCCCCAGTGTACTACCTGGGTAAAAGGCAAAAAGGGAGGACCCCAGTCAAAACCTAATCATTTTCTTATGTTAAAGAGATGAAGCTGGAAGTCAAGAAGGCAAACTAGAGACATGAACTAGAATTCACGGAGTACAGGGACAGAGAAGAGAAAGTTGTAGAAGACACTCTGGAAATATAAAAATGGTTCTCTGAGTCTTCATATTAAAGCACTGATCAGTATATGTATGTGAGTAAACTACCCAAGGTCACAGAAAAAAAATCACTGAAAAGGAATAGAGGGAACAGTGCCCAATGCCCACAGAGGTCTATAAGCAAGTCCTGTCTGTAAGAGTCAGAACAGAAAAGCTCATTTATCAAATAGCATTGATCAGAGCAGGGGCCAACAAATTATATCCCAGAGGTCAATCTGGTCCACCTATTTCTGTATAGCACAAGAAACTCAGAATGGTTTCTACATTATGAGACAGCCGGGGGGGGGGGGGGTCGACCAAAAGATAATATTTCATGAAAACTTAGAAGCATGAAATTCAAATGAAATTCAAATTAGAGTATCTAAGAATAAAGTTCACAAACATGCTTGTTCATTTAAATACTATCTATGGTTGCTTCCATTATACAACAGAAAGGACAGGTAGTTGAGATAGAGACTCTGCAGTCCACAAGGCCTGATATATTTACTATCTGACTCTTTACAGAACAACGAATCTTGTGTTAGTAGGAAAAATATTAACCCCAGGATAAACATATATCCAGAATCACCTGACAAAGCTTAAAAGCAAGATACTAAATAATTAGTTCCAGGGCCCCCAGGTAGTTCAGTTGGTTAAGTAACCAACTCTTGATTTCGGCTCAGGTCATGATCTCAGGGTTGTAAGATTGAGTCGTGCATGGGGCTCCTCACTGAGCAAGAAGTCTGATTAAGATTTTTTCTGTCCGGAGTCGGAGGAGCCGCTGACGCCGCCAAGTCCCGACGTGCACGCCCGATTCCTTTTGGTTCTAAGTCCAAAATGGCAACGCTCAAGGATCAGCTGATTCAGAATCTTCTTAAGGAAGACCATACCCCCCAGAATAAGATTACAGTTGTTGGGGTTAGTGCTGTTGGCATGGCTTGTGCCATCAGTATCTTAATGAAGGACTTGGCAGATGAACTCGCTCTTGTTGATGTCATGGAAGACAAATTGAAGGGAGAGATGATGGATCTCCAGCACGGCAGCCTTTTCCTTAGAACACCAAAAGTTGTCTCTGGCAAAGACTACAATGTGACTGCAAACTCCAAGCTGGTTATTATCACGGCTGGGGCACGTCAGCAAGAGGGAGAAAGTCATCTTAATTTGGTCCAGCGTAACGTGAACATCTTTAAGTTCATCATTCCTAATATTGTCAAATACAGCCAAAACTGCAAGTTGCTTGTTATTTCCAATCCAGTGGATATCTTGACCTATGTGGCTTGGAAGATAAGTGGCTTTCCCAAAAACCGAGTTATTGGAAGTGGTTGCAATCTGGATTCAGCCCGGTTCCGTTACCTAATGGGGGAAAGGCTGGGAGTTCACCCATTAAGCTGTCATGGGTGGGTCCTTGGAGAGCATGGAGACTCCAGTGTGCCTGTATGGAGTGGAGTAAATGTTGCTGGTGTCTCTCTGAAGAATCTGCACCCTGACTTAGGCACTGATGCAGATAAGGAACAGTGGAAAGAGGTTCACAAACAGGTGGTTGACAGTGCCTATGAGGTGATCAAACTAAAAGGCTACACTTCCTGGGCCATTGGACTCTCTGTGGCAGATTTGGCAGAAAGTATAATGAAGAATCTTAGGCGGGTGCATCCAATTTCCACCATGATTAAGGGTCTCTATGGAATAAAAGATGATGTCTTCCTTAGTGTTCCTTGCATCTTGGGACAGAATGGAATCTCCGATGTTGTGAAGGTGACTCTGACTCCCGAGGAAGAGGCCCGTTTAAAGAAGAGTGCAGATACACTTTGGGGGATCCAAAAGGAGCTGCAGTTTTAAAATTTTCTAATGTACCATGTCACTGTCTAGACTACAAGATTTTAGTTGGAGGTTGTGTATGTTGTCCTTATTATCTGACCTGTTACTCAAGTCGTAATATTAAAATGGCCTAAGAAAAAAACATCAGTTTCCTAAAGTTACACATAGGGTTCACAAAACCCTGCAGCTATGTCCTGATGCTGGATGATACCTGTCTTGTGTAGTCCTAAATTGGTTAACGTAATATCGTTCCACCATCTCAGAGGCACCACTGCCAATGTCATATATGCTGCAGTTACTCCTTAAACCAGATGTGTATTTACTGTGTTTTGTAACTTCTGATTCCTTCATCCCAACATCCAACATGCCTAGGCCATCTTTTTTTCTTCAGTCACATCCTGGGATCCAATGTATAAATTCAATATTGCATGGATTGTGCATAACTCTTCTAAAGGATCTTATTTTGTGTACTATATATGTCAGAATATAGTGTACATTGCCATATAATGTAAAAAGACAATGCAACCAACTGTCATACCAACTAAAATACCAAATAAATTTTGAACAGTGAGTCTTTTTTTTCTGAAAAAAAAAAATTTTTTTTTCTGTCCTCCTCTCCCACCGCCCCTCCCCCCCTTAAAAAAAGTTTCCAAGTAAATAAAACATGTCCCAGAGCTCAAGAATATAAGTATATAAAAATATCTAGCATATACTGTGGCATTATTTACAATAGCCAAGATATGGAAGCAACTCAAGTGTCCATCCACTGATGTAGTACATACACAAAGTGATATTACTCAGCCATAGAATGAATGAAATTTTGCCATTTGTGACAACATGGCTAGACCTAGAGGTTATTCCGGTAACTGAAGTAAGTCAGACACAGACGCCTGGGTGGCTCAGTGGTTTAGCACCTGCCTTCAGCCCAGGGCGTGATCCTGGAGTCCTGGGATCGGGTTCCGCATTGGGCACCCTGCGTGGAGCCTGCTTCTCCTTCTGCCTGTGTCTCTGCCTCTCTCTCTCTCTCTCTCTGGGTCTCTCATGAATAAATAATAAAATCTTTAAAAAAAAAACGAAGTCAGACAAAGATAAAAACCGTATGATTTCACTTATTTGTGGTATCTAACAAAAAAAAATGAACAAAGAACAGAGAACTGGTGATTACTAAAGGGGAAGTGGGTCAGGGATGAGAAAAACAGGTGAAGGGGATTAAGTAATACAAACTTCCAGTTATAAAATAAATAAGTCATGGAGATGAAAAGTACAGAATAGGGAATATACTCCATAATACTGCAATAATGTATGATGAGTATGATGAGTACACTTAACCTTGGTGAGCACTGAGTAACCTACAGAATTATTGAATCATGTTATATACCTGAAACTAATATAACATTGTATGGCAACTATACTCAATTTTTTCAAAAACAAAAACAAGGGGCGTCTAGATGGCTCAGTCAGTCAAGCGTCAGTCTGACTCTTGGTTTTGGCTCAGGTCGTCATCTCAGGTTTGTGATATCAAGCCCCATGTTGGTTTCCCCCTGCAGCGGGGAGTCTACTTAAATTTTGCTCCCTTGCCTGTTGCCCCTCCCTCCACTTGCCTGCATTCTCTAAAATAAACAAATATTTTTTAAAAATAAAAAAAGCAAAAACAAAATGAAACAAACATCTAGCATCTAGTATAGTAAAATTTACAATGTCTACTATCTAATCAAAAATTACCAGACAAGCAAAGGAAGCAGAAAAATTTAACCCATAGGGAGAAGAAAAAAAAACCAATCCACTAACTCAAATAATAGAATTAATAAAGCAATATGAAGTTATAGAACCATAAGTGACCATAATTTATATGCTCAAGAAACTAGAGGAAAGACTGAACATGTGGAGTGAAGACATGGATGACATAAAAAAGACTTACTGCCATTTCCAATGATGGGATGGAACTAGAGGGTATTATGCTAAGTGAAATAAGTCAGTCAGAAAAAAAACAAATACCATATGATTTCATTCATATGTGGAATTTAAGAAACAAAACAGATGAACATAGGGAAAGAGAGGGAAAAATAAAATAAGATGAAAATTGAGAGGGAGGCAAGCCATAAGAGATGGTGAACCCTAGGAAACCAACAGGGTTGCTGGAGTGGAGGGGGATGGATAATTGGGTGATGAGCATGAAGGAGGGTACTTGATGTAATGAGCACTGGGTATTTATATGCAACTAATGAATCATAAATTCTACCTCTGAAACTTAAAAAAAAAAAAAGACCTAAATAAAAATTCTGGAGAGGAAAAGCAGTTTCTGATTAAAAAACCCTGAATAGGGACGCCTGAGTGGTTGAGGGTCTGCCTTTGGTTCAGGGCATGATCCTGGGGTTCAGGATCGAGTTCCACCTCGGGTTTCTTGTGGGGAGCCTGCTTTCCCCTCTGTGTCTCTGCCTCTCTGTGTCTCTTGTGAATAAATAAAATCTTAAAAAAAAAAAAAAAAAACCTAAATAGGATATAAGCTAGATTAAGCTTGTCCTCACCACTACAAAAAAATGTTAGTGAACTTAAAAACACAGCAATAAAAAAGAAAAAATAAAGAAAAAAATACTAAAAATAAGTGCACAGATCAATAAACTGTGGGACTACTTTAAGTGATCAAATAGACATCTAATTTGGAGTTTCAAAATAAAAAAATTAAAAAAAAAAAAGGAGGGACACCAGCTGAGGGTGGCTCAGCTGGTTTAGCAGCTGCCTTCGGCTCAAGTCATGATCTTGGGGTCCCGGGATTGAGACCTGCATCTGGCTCCTTGGCTCAATGGAGAGTCTGCTTCTCCTTCTCCCTCTACCCCACTCGTACTCTCTCTCAAATAAATAAATAAAATTGTTCAAAAAAGAAAAACAACTAAAAAAAATGGAGTTCATGTATCAGAAGACTCAATGTTTAAAGGTGTCATTTTGTGCAAATTCATCTGTAGATTCAACAAAATCCCAATAAAATTTTCAGTATTTTATAGAAATTGATAAACTTACTCTAAAATTTATATGGAAATGCAAAGGACCTAAAATAGGTAAAAACACCTTTTAAAAAGAAGAATATAGTTAGAAGACTTAAATTATCTGACTTCAGAATTTACTACAAAGTTAGGGAGCTGAGTCTAAGCAGAGTGATACTGGCCTCAAGATAGAAAAATAGATAGGTGAAACAGAATGCAGGGTACAGAAATAGACCCATACATATGCAATTAATTAACTCTTGAAAAAAATATTTTATTGAAATAAAATTTACAGGGGCACCTGGGTGGCTCAGTGGTTGAGAGTCTGCCTTTGGCTCAGGTCATGATCCTGGGGTCTTGGGATTGAGTTCCACATCAGACTTCCCATGGGGAGTCTGCTTCCCCCTCTACCTATATCTCTGCCTCTCTCTGTATGTCTCTTATGAATAAATAAAATCTTTAAAAAAAAAAAAAAAGAAAAAATTTAACTAACATAAAATCAATCCATCATTTTAGCCATTTTAAAGTGTAGAATTCCATGCTTTTTAGTATATTCATAATATTGTACCACCATCACCACTACCTAATTAACAGAATATTTCCATCAACCCTGAAAGGAACTTCAATTCTTTCAATTCCCCCTGACCTCAACTCCCACCAACTAATTTATATTCTGTCTCTATGGATTTGCCTAATTTATAAATTTAATATAAATGGAATCATACTCAATGAAACCAAAAGTTCCTTGTTTGAAAAGATGAACAAAATAGATAAACTTTCAGCATGACTGATGAAGAAAAATAGATTCAAATTACTCAAGTTAGAAATGAGGGGAGGGATATTACTAATGATCTTACAGAAATAAAAAGATTGTTAAAAGAGCACAATGAATAACTGAATGCCAATATATGAACCTAGATGAAATGGACAAATTCCTAGTAACAAATTACCAAACTTACCCAAGAATAGAAAATCTGAATACATAGGGTATTCAAGTAAAAAGATTAGATAACCAAAAAACTTCCCCCAAGAGAAACCCAGGATCAAATGGCTTCACAGGTGAATTCTACAAACATTTACCAAAGAATTAACGCCAATCCTTCTCAAACTCCTCCAAAAAACAGAAAAGTTCAGATGAACACTTTCCCACTCATTCTGTTAGGCCAGTATCACTCTGATACCAACACCTGGCAAACAAACAAAAAACGAGAAACCTATAAAAGAGTAACCTTTGTGAATATGTACATAAATCTTCAACAAAATGTAAGTAAACTGAATCCAGCAGCATACTAAAACGATTAGGGATATTAGCCCTACCTCCACGGAAGGGAGAGGGACTAAGGATTAATTAATTAAACAAAAACTGTTACACTCAAATTCAGAAGACCTTCCTGACTCATGCATGAATACACTGACACATGGGGAAGCTAATCTACACTGATTCCACAGAGAGAGTGCATGGAAACTGTATATTACCCTCCCAGACCTTGCCTTATGTGTCTCTTTATCTGGTTGGTTCTAAATTCTATCTTTTAAAATAAAACCATGGTAAGTATAGCACTTTTCTGTGTTCTGTGAGTCCTTCCAACAAATTATCAAATCGGAAGCAGATTGTGGGAACTTGTGGCTGGCATCTGCAATGGAGGCAGTCTTGTTGGTGACCATGCCCTCAAATCTGTGGAATTTGTCGCTACATTCAGGTGATTGGAGTAAGATCTGAACTGTACTGCAGTACATCAATATAAAATCAAACCAAGAATTTTTGTGAAATTTTACAGGTGATTCTGGAAAAGTCAGAGGAGACTACAAGGGGCTGAAAATAACCAAATGGCATTTCAAAAAGAACATGGTAGGAGACCTTGCCTTAGCAAACCAAAGGTCTTATTTTAAAGCTATAATAAAACCATGTGCTGAAGAATGCACTAATGTAACAGAGAACCTAGAAATAGATCCACATATATGTCGAAATTAACATGTGAGACGTGGCATTTGGCATTACAAAGTAGTGTGCAGGGGGAAAAAGCCCTCACACATTACAGAAAAATAAACTCCAAGACATTTAAGATTACAATTTGAAAATCAAAACTTTTAGAAGGAAACACAGATGAGTATCTTATGACCTCAGAATTATAGACAAAGGTTTCTTAAACAGATATAAAAAGTGTAAACATTAAAAAAAGATTTACAGGGCAGCCCGGGTGGCTCAGCCGTTTAGCGCTGCCTTCAGCCCAGGGCGTGATCCTGGAGACCTGGGATAGAGTCCCACGTTGGGCTCCCT